GCCGGGGGGGAGAGAGGCTCGGAGGGGGATGCGTCGACGCCCATTGATCGACGATGGGGCCAGATAGCCCACCCCGCCCAGGAGCGTGCGGACTCGATGTCGGGGGGTTCTCGCCGATCTGTCGGCGACCTATCGCTGGTACCTGCTCGATGTTTCCCCCCCCTGAGCGCCCCCCCCACCCCACCCCCGAACGCTCCCCCTCAGAGCGCCGCGCCGCGCCCGCCGCCAGCCATGGGGGACGGGGCAGAGGCGGAGCCAGATCCTTACCTGGAGCTGTACTCCGACGACGACCGGGAGCCCAGGGAGGGCCAGCACTCGAATAGTAATATCATTAATAATAATAATAATCATACTTAATGGTAGTAGTAATAGTCATAATCATCATAATCATAAGAGTAGAACTGTTAATAATAATAATACTAATAATTATACTAACAATAATAATAATAACAATCATAATAACAATAATGCATGGATAAGTAATAATGATAATACTAAGAAGGCGTATCATATCAATAATATCAGACAGTGATAATACAGAAGAAGACTCATGCTAATAATCAACAGTAGCCAAAAAGTAACAAGCATAAGCAGAAACAACATGAACAAGTTGGAGGAGGAGGAGGAGGGTGAGTAGGAGGAGGACACGCGACTCGAATGACTCCGCCGGGGAAACGAGGGAGCCACGACTGATTAGAGGAAAACGCGGCTATCCCGAAGCCGCGTGGGTGTCACCTCTGAAGGGAATCCCCGTGCGCGGGTGGCACTTGGAAGCATTAGCATAAACCGTCAGAGCTCCGCGCGGATTTCCTGCATCGGCGCTGGGCTCCCCTGGCAGCGCCTCCGGCACCGCCCCCGCCGCGTTCAGCGCCGATCAAAGAGATCCGCGCAGACCTCCGAAGGCCCGTTTATGCCGTTTCTTCCCCTTCGTCTTCTCCTTCTTCTTCTTCTTCTTCTTCTTCTTCCTCCTCCTCTTCTTCTTCTTCTTCTTCTTCTCTCTTCCTCTTGCTATCACAATAGAGAGCCTTTCTTTATGTTCGGCGATGACGGGCGTCATGGGGGGGGGGGGCGGGTAAGGGGTATGACGTAACGCCCCCCCCCCGCCGTGTGGCTCTGGCACCACAGCTGCGCCCGCGCGCACGACGCGACGAGCGACAAGCGACGACGACGACGACGCGAGCAGCATGTAGGTGGCGATCTGCCCCCCTGCGCCTGTGTACACCACAACGCTCGCGTGCACCACAGCGCGCGTGTACACCGCAGCGCCTGCGTACATCGCGTGTGCAACGCAGCGCCTGTGTACACTGCAGTGCTTGCGTACACTACAGCGCCGGTGTACATGTGCACACCGGAGGCAAACAATGTGCAACACAGCGCCTGTACACGCCACAATGCTTGCGTGCACCGCGGCGCCTGTGCACGCCACAGCGCCTGTCTACACCACAACATCCGCGTGCAACGCAGCGCTATTGTACACCACGGTGCCTGCGTGCAGAGGACAGGTAGAAGGAGCCTGTACGTGAGGATCTGCTGCGGAAGCGCCACGCCAGGAAAGTGCTGATAAGAGCGTGTCCCCGGTTCCGTTCGGTTCGTTTCGGTTCGGGGGGAAATTGGTTCGGTTCAATACGGTTCCGGTTTGGGGGCTATTTGAGGCGGTTCCCATCCAGAGGGCGGTTCCGTTTCAGCCAGTTCCATTTCGGTTCTCGGTTTTTGCAGATGACGTGTGCGCGTGTGCGTCTACATGATCATATGGAGGCGTTTGGAGGTCTAGTTCAACCAGGAGTCAGGAGGAACCCTGGGGCCAGGGGAGCCACTGGGCCCAGCTACCCGACGAGCCAGGGGAGCCATTGGGCCCAGACGTTACTCATGGTGCCCTCGACGGACCAGTCGACAGCATCGTCCCCCCTGGACCAGGGGGCTCTGGCGACAGCGGGCGATTCCTCAGCGCCAGGATAGAAAACGCTTGGACTACGGTCTGGGACAGTACGGACCACTCACTCCTGGCATGGGTCATGACAATTGGGAAGGCAAGGGCGCTGCCCGCGCCCTCACCGGGCGCGCGCAGGATGGTGGGGGCCCAGCCCCCGCCGCCGTCCCACGTTCGGCCCTGGAGGCCCCGAGGGCTCCTGGAAGCCCAAAGCGCATTTTCGAACCGTCCAAAAATTCGATTTGAGCTTTTCCGCCGCCCTTCCGTCCCCAGTGCAGCCCTGGAGGCCCCGAAAACCGCCTGGAGGCCCAAAACGCATTTTCGAACCGTCCAAAAATGCGATTTGAGCTTTTCCGCCGCCCTGCCATCCCCAGAGCAGCTGTGGAGGCCCCGAAAACCGCTTGGAGGCCCACGACGCATTTTCGAACCGTCCAAAAATGCGATTTGAGCTTTTCCGCCGCCCTTCCGCCCCCAGTTCGGCCCTGGACAAGTAGCAAAACAGGGCGAGGGAATTCGGGGGCGCAGGGGAGTAGTTGGGAGCGGGTGGGATGGACCTAGCGCAAAAGTGGGCGCTCGCATCGGGCAGTTCCCAAGGGCCCACCTCCGCGACCGGTTCCCGGTTCGGTTCCGGTTCGGGCCCGGTTCGGTTCCACCGCCTCCGGTTCGGTTTGGTTTCGATTCGCGTCGGGTTTCTGACGGGTTCCGGTTCCGTCGGTTTTCCCTCGGTCGGTTCGGTTCTGTGGTTCGTGGTTCGGTTTTGTGGTTCCCGGTGCTCATCGAATGCGACGTTTTTCCCTCTTCCCTTCTCCTCCATTTCCACCACCACCTCCTCCTCCTCCTTTTTCTCTTCCTCCTCCTCCTCCTCCTCCTCCTCCTCCTCCTCCTCCTTACCCCCTGTCGTGCGGGGTGGCGCAACAACGCACGTGCGCAACTCAGCGCGCACCGCAGAATACTCTATTGAATCGGCCCACTTGGTTCTCGGACGGCTAATTTAGCTTGAGCCTCCTGGGCGCAGAGGGGAGGAGTTACGGTGATGCGGGCGAATTCGGAAGGATTCGTAGATTCCCCAGGCGTTCCCTTGTCCATAAGGATTATTTTCTTGTGTTTTCGGTGGAATCCACAAGCGCTCCATTTTGTCATAACGATTCCTTCTTCTACATGCAACAGTGGTGCTGTGTTGCACACGGTTGCTGTGGTGCACGCAAGCGCCGTGGTGCACACAGACAGTGCAATACACGCAGGCACTGTGGTGTACACAGCTGTGTTGCACGCGGCTGATGTGGTGTACGCAAGCGCTGTGGTGTACACAAGAGTTGTTGTGCCCGCGCGCGCGGTGGCACACACTGACGCTGTGTTGCACGCGGCTGTTGTGGTGTACATAGGCGGTGTGGTGTACAAAGGCGCTGTGGTGCACGCAGGCACTGAGGTGTACACAGTCGTTGTGGTGCAGATCGCCACCTACATGCTGGTGCCACCCGTCTTCCGTCATTCCTACGCACTCCCAGGCGCCGCCGGCGCGAAGCGTGACGTCATCGACCCCCTTCCACCCCCCCAGATGATTGCCGTCATCGGCCCGGGAAAAAAGCTCCAGCCGCGTCCGCGCGCACGACAACGATGAGCGACGAGCCACGAGCCACGAGCCACGAGCGACGACGACGACGACGACGACGACGACGACGACGACGACGACTGCGGACCAGACTCCCATGCGGATTCCTACGCGGACCCCAATGCTCACGGCGGCAGTGTCCAGAGCGCACGGGGGGGGGAGCGTTACGTCATAAGGGGGGGGGGGCGGGGGCCATGATGCCCCTCATGCCCCAAGCAATAAAGAAATGGTTTCATATGATCATCAGTAATCGTATTAGTACTTGTATGTTTTCAGTACTGGTATACCTATTACAGTTGTTATTACGAATATTATAATATTATTCACATTTACAGTATTGTAAGTCTTAATATTCGTAGTAGTAGTAGTAGTAGTAGTAGTAGTAGTAGTAGTAGTAGTAGTAGTAGTAGTAGTAGTAGTAGTAGTAGTAGTAGTAGTAGTAGTAGTAGTAGTAGTAGCAGTACTCGTACCAGTCTTCGTATTCGTATCATTGCTTGGATTATTATTAGTATGCCTACTCGTATGCTTTTCATTTCTACGACATCATTACTCTTATTCGCACTATTGGTTTGTATTCGGCGATATCTTTGTAATGTGTGTATTGTTGCCATCCTCATTATTATTGGTGTTGGTATTCTGATTATTGTCATCATCGTTATCATTATTATTATTATTATTATTATTAGTAATATTATTATTATTATTATTATTATTCTTATTCTTATTATTCGTATTCATTTCTCTTTTTCATGACAACCAGCCCTTTGCCCTAAGCGACCCCCTCCCCCCCCGCAAGACCAGGGCCATCTCTTGGGCTCACTCTCCACTGGGACTACGGGTGCAAGCTGCCTCCTGAGCAATGTCAGGGCAGGCTCAGGGGGGGCGGGGTGCGTCGGCCCCTGATCTGATCGCCCATGGGTGGCCGATTGAGGCCGAGAAGCCCACTCCGCCAGGGAGCGTGCGGATTCCATGTCGGGGGCGCACAGTCAGCCCGCATAGTAAGGATTGGCAACATTCCCAAAGGTACCCTTGCATCCTTGCCCCTTCGGCCCATCCTTAGCGACTTTCGCTGGCCAGCCTCGTTCGAAAAACGTTCACGTGGCCCTCCAATGCCCTTGCATTCTCACCACGCATCCTCATGATACGGGTCGACTCTATCGCCGACCTATCGGCGATCTGTCGCCGATTCCAAGTCGAAGCCTCCTTCCCTGAGCCAGTCTCCCCCCCCTTATCGCTCTCCCTGGTACTTCTGAGGGCCACTTGGGCCCCAGAGGGCCCCCGCTCCTCTGTCAAGCCTCCCGGTGGCAAAACGGTAATTCTTGGGAGGTCACACTCAGTGGTTGAGAACTGGGGCACTCCAGCATGATCCCGTCTAGTTCGGCTTGCAGTGGGAACCCGTGCCAAGAAACACACTGCTTGCCTCCAGGGTGACTTTGGTTTTCTTGGGTTTCGGTGGTTCGGCTACGGAAAGCGTGATTGCCCCACCAAAAATCAATGGACATCTTGGGGGCTCAGGGTTGGGTTTCTTGTGGAAGATTTCTTGTGGTCGAGCTCCTATTGTAATCTCGCCGAGTTTGGCTTAATCCAGGTTAGCCCGGCTCTATCCCGGGCTTATCTGGCCCAACCCGGCCTAATGGCCTCTCGTCGTTCCGACGAAGAGCCCTAATGAGTTGCTTCGTAAGGAAGATTATGATGCATCTTCGGGGGAGTTCGTCTGTCCTGTAAAGTGTTTTTTCCTTGTACCCGACTCGGAGTCAACACGGATTCGACGCGGATTCCACATATATTCGACGTGGATTCGACGCGGATTTGACTTTGGACACGGATTCGACACGGATAGTTCGCTGTCACCCCAACATACTCATATTATATATGCGTCGCCCACAAAGGGGCAAAGCGCGCACCGTGAAGTTTTATAGTATATGCGTCGTGGCGGGCGTTGTTTGTCTGTGCCGCTCGGGAGACCATCTCCTACAATATGGTTGTACGATCTGATCGGGTCGGTCTCACCCTTCCGAGAAGCACACGCAGTACTTGTATGTCCTTGTGCGTCCCAATAGTGGCGCGATGGGACAGGCAAGGTCCCCCGAAGATGCAACGTAAGGAAAACCGTACTTTGCAGATGGGGGCTTCTGGGGCCCGCACCGGGACGCCCGGGGGCCAGGCCTTACCGCGCGAGCGTGGCCAGAGACAGCAATGTGTGCACGTGGCGTGAAGGTAGTCAGCGTACTCTCGTTGCGTGATAGTCTAGGTTCTAGGCCTCCTAGATGGGGTCCGAGTAGATGGGGTCGGAGGATCGTGCAGCATCGCCGATGCAACGGCGATGCATCAGTGATGCGGTTCGACGTGGGGCCCAATTTTCTCTACGCCGACGTCGCCGATGCATCGCCGACGTCGCCAGTGCATCGCCGAAGCATCGCCAATGCATCGGCAATGCATCGCCGATGCATCGCCGATGCGGCGAGATCCATCGACCCCACATAGTTACTCGGACTCCATACAGGAGGCCTCTATACTCTCGTTGCGTGATACCCGACCCAGAGCCAAACTTCCAGGTCGGTTTCGGAGCTCGCCGCGGTGATCTTGGCGGCCACAGATCGGGGCACGGATATATCAATGAGTGGCGTGCCCCTTCCCAGTCACTTCTCCCCCGCTCTAAGGTACATACGTGGCATAGCGACAGAGAGTTGTCAATGTATGTCCATCATGACATGGCCAGTCCTATTTTCTGTTGGTGAGGGGTCGACGATCACGCAACCGTAACCGTTGAACGAAATGACTGACTGCTCAACTTGTGGCTGGGCACTTCCTCGAACTTTACAAGCCCACCTTGTCGCATTCCTCTCACGGTCGGGCCGCTGAAGAAGGAATATTTGTCGTTGCGGAGGGGCTTAGTGCCCCTTTATTGTTTTGCAGTTTGTCTTCGATTTTCCTTCTGGGCATTTGCGTGGGGAATCACAGCGTTTCGACCGCAGCACGAGGTGTGTGGGGGCGGGCTGCTTCAGCACGGCGCTGTCCCACCTGGACTGCAGGCCCACGAGGGGCGCCGTCCTTCCTGGGAGGTGTGCTGTTTTCGATGGGAGGGAAAGTGCAGGCAGGGGCTGGTGAGAAGTGAACCTGCAATTGTCATCGAACGCAAAAGGGCCCCCAACCCGACTAACACGATGAAGACGTGGCCTCACTCGGGTCTCCGTCTTCGCATCTGGGATACTAGATCTGGGCGGATTTGGTCTGCTACATCTGCAGAAAAAGACCCCCTATTCCTAATGTGTTTGGCCCTCCTAACTTAGGTCCCCTACTCCCCTCCCAAAGGGTTAGGGGTACTTCTATTGCTTATCAGGCACCCTCCCACGCCCCCACGCCCCCAATTTTCAATGTTGACGGACGCGCGCAACGCGGCCCGCGGGGCCAACAACAAATGCAGTCACCAGCATCGGCGCCAGCATTGAAATTGGGTTCCCGGGGGCGTCGCCATGTCGCAGGAACAAATGCGTTTGATTTCGAGGAGGGATGTTGGACGAGAGGGTGTACTGCAGTATCGCTGATACATCTTGGGCTCACCCTGGTCGACCCTGACGCTGCCCCGCCGCCCGAGGACTTCCCATGGAACGAAACGACTGACCTTTCAACCTGGCCGACCCTGACGCTGCCCCTGTCCAGCCTGAAACAGATCCCTGTCCCTATGATGGGCATCGCCACGCCCCGATGCCGATCGTAAGGATAACCTTAGCTCCGGAGGACGCATCCCTGAGATGGTCGTCGCTTTTTGCCTTGCCAATTCTAGTGATACAGTCAACCCGCATAGCGGCAAGGATGCGCAACCTTCCCAAGCGCACCCCCTGCGCCCTTGTGCTTCCTCGGCCCATGCTTCGCCGCCTTCGTTGGCCAGGCCCCGCCTCGAGTTGCTCCGAAGTGGGCGTCCGAGGCCCCTGGCATCCTCATCGCGCATCCTTACTGCAAGGGTCGACTGTAGCCAAGGGAGGATAAACCACCCGGACCGGACAATTGGCGTTTTCTAAAGGGCCCTGGGCGCTTACTAAACAGCCTTGCCCTGTTTGATCCCTTCTTTGGGTGCGCTTACTCAACGGCTTCGCGTGTTGGGGTGGTTGTCACCGGGGTGGATTTTCGGCCCTCTCTGGAGCGTATCCCTACAGACTGCAGGGATGCGCTCGACGGCCCGCCGCCCGAGGAGCCTCCGCGGGGCCGCGGCGTGCTGCCCCGCGGCGCGGCCCGCAGGATCGCGGCCTCCCTCGGGGCGGCGCCGCCGGGCGCCGCGGCGCGCCGCCCCGAGCTCGGCCCGCCGAGCGGCGCGGGCGCGGCGCCCGAGGGCCTGCGGGCGGGGCCGCTGCTGCTGGAGTTCTCCCGCGCGGTGGTGCTCAAGAGGAGGAGGAGGAGGAGGAGGAGGAGGAGGAGGAGGAGGAGGAGGAGATGGAGGAGGAGGAGGAAGAGGAGGAAGAGGAGGAGGGTGCTGCTGCCGCTGCCCTGCCCAGAGGAGGAAAAGATACCCACACCGCTGCCCCTCGGCCGTTTTCCCATCTTTGGGCCTCCTGGGAGGCCCTCGTCGCCACCGCTGGATTCGCCTCGAGATCCAGGTCAGAACGCACTCCGGGAGAGGTCCGGGGGGTAGCGGTATCGGTGCCTTTCGGTTTCCCCACCTTCCTTCGTTGTTTCCCTGTGTCGGAAACTGGAACGTATATACCCTACCAGCGGCGGGCCGTTTTCTCGATCCCAGGACTTTTTTCGAGGGCCGGGGACGACGTCGGGGCGGAGTGGTGTACACTCAATTTTTCTCCCCCCTGGGAAGCAACGATACATGTACACACCAGGATCCCGCATGCACCAGGACCCGCTTTGTTGTGCACGTTTCGGTGCAGGGCCGGAAAAAGCGTCGGTTGATCCGACCAAGGCGTCGATACACCACCACCGTGCCAGGCCCTGGCTTGGCACGGTGGTGGTGTACAGACGCCTTCGGCGTTGGAGCTATATATATATATATAAATATATATATATATATATATATATAGAGAGAGATGAAGAGAGACGATGAGATGAGATGAGAGAAAGAGAGAGTTCGGCTCCCTATTGCCTATTCGTGGCCTCCTGGGCGGCCCCCGGCGACACCGGCTGGTCCCGCCTCGAAGTCCTGGTCTTGAGTCGGTCTTGAGTTCGGGCCTGTCCCTCTCAGGGAGGAATATTCAAGAAGTCAAAGCATAGTCTTAGAACGATTTTTGTTGTCAAGTTTGTTGTTGCTGTTGATATTTACCTAACAGCGTAGACTGATAGGTTTCTAGTTGATTCAAAAGAGCTCACAGATCACTCCACAGGGGGGTCCGGGCAGGCGTTGGGAGTTGCCGGCCGGCAGGGTGCCGGGCCTGTGCCGGGCTCGTTTTTCACCAACAGTCACGCACTTCGTGCTCGTCGACCTCTCAGAACCCCATTCCCAGGCCACATTCTGAATAACCGGATGCAGCAGTCACACACTTGGTGCTCCTGGAATTCCAGGAAAACTCCATCAGGGCCACATTCGAATGCCCGGAGCCAACTGTAGGCCACTCGTGGCTCTTCGAGTGCCCAGGAAACTCCATTCCCGGAGTACATTTTGTGAGTGCCCGGAAGCCAAATGTAGGCACTTCGTGGTCTTCGAGTTCCAAGAACTCCTTCCAGGGCCCACATTCTGAATGCCCGGAGCCAACCCGTAGGCCAATTCGTTGGTCTATTCGAGTTCCCAGAACTCCATTCCCGGGCCACATTTTGGATGCACGGAGCCAACTGTTAGGCCACTTCGTGTCTTGGACTTCCCAGAAACTCCATTCTCCTGGTATGATTTTGAAGGCCCGGAGAAACTGTAGGCCACTTCGTGTTCTTCGAGTTCCGAGAATTCCATTCCCTGGCCACATTTTGAATGCTGAGGCAGGCTGATGCTGAGGCTGAGGCAGGCTGCGGCAGGCTGAGGCTGAGGCCGAAGCTGAAGGCAGACTCAGGCTGAGGCTGATGCAGGCTGATGCTGAGGCTGAAGCAGGCTGAGGCTGATGCAGGCTGAGGCTGAGGCAGGCTGAGGCTGAGGCTGAGGCTGATGCAGGCTGAGGCTGAGGCAGGCTGAGACTGAAGCCGAGGCTGAAGGCAGATTGAGCTGAGCCTGAAAGCAGGCGAGGCTGAGCTGAGGCTGCTGAGGCGGCTGAGGCTGAGGCCTGAGGGCAGGCTGATGCCTGAGGCAGGCTGAGGCTGAGGCTGATGCAGGCTGAGGCTGAGGCAGGCCGAGGCGAGGCCGAGGCCTTAGGCACAGAACTGAGGCTGAAGGCGAAGCAGCCTGAGGCTGAGGCTGAGCATGGTGAGGCGGGAGGCTGGGCTGAGCAGGCTGAGGCTTGAGGCAGGATGAGGCTGAGGCTGATGCAGGCTGTGGCAGAGGCAGGCTGAGACTGAAGCCGCTTTTTTTTTTGCTGAGGCAGGCTGAGGCTGAGGCTGAGGCAAAGGCAGGCTGAGGCTGAGGCAGGCTGAGGCTCATGCAGGCTGAGGCTGAGGCAGGCTGAGGCTGAGGCTGAGGCTGATGCAGGCTGAGGCTGATGCAGGCTGAGGCTGAGGCCGAGGCTGTAGGCAGACCGAGGCTGAGGCTGAAGCAGGCTGAGGCTGAGGCTGGAGCAGGCTGAGGCTGAGGCTGAGGCAGGCTGATGCTAAGGCAGGCCGAGGCTGAGGCTGAGGCTCATGCAGGCTGAGGCTGAGGCAGGCGGAGGCTGAGGCCGAGGCTGAAGGCAGACTGATGCTGAGGCTGAAGCAGGCTGAGGCTGAGGCTGAGCAGCTAGAGGGCTGGAGGCTGAGGCAGGCTGAGGCTGAGGCTGAGGCTGATGCAGTGGAGCTGACGCAGGCCGAGCTGAGGCCGAGGCTGGAAGAGCAGACTGAGGCTGAGGCTGAAGCAGGCTGAAGGCAGACTGAGGCTGAGGCTGGCTGATGCTGATGCAGGCTGAGGCTGAGGCTGAGGCTGAGGCTGAGGCTGCAGGCTGAGGCTGAGGCTGAGGCCGAGGCTGAAGGCAGACTGAGGCTGAGGCTGAAGCAGGCTGAGGCTGAGGCTGAGGCAGGCTGAGGCTGAGGCTGAGGCAGGCTGATGCTGAGCCAGGCTGAGGCTGAGGCTGAGGCTCAGGCAGGCTGAGGCTGAGGCCGAGGCCGAGGCTGAGGCAGACTGATGCTGAGGCTGAAGCAGGCTGAGGCTGAGCTGAGGCAGGCTGAGGGTGAGGCTGAGGCAGGCTGAGGCTGAGGCTGAGGCTGATGCAGGCTGAGGCTGAGGCAGGCGAGGCTGAGGCCGAGGCTGAAGGCAGACTGAGGCTGAGGCTGAAGCAGGCTGAGGCTGAGGCTGAGGCTGAGGCTGAGGCTGAGGCTGAGGCAGGCTGAGGCTGAGGCAGGCTGAGGCTGAGGCTGAGGCTGATGCAGGCTGAGGCTGAGGCAGGCTGAGGCTGAGGCCGAGGCTGAAGGCAGACTGAGGCTGATGCAGGAGCAGGCTGAGGCTGAGGCTGAGGCAGGCTGAAGCTGAGGCTGAGGCTGATGCTGAGGCAGGCTGAGGCTGAGGCTGAGGCTAATGCAGGCCACTGCGACTGTCATCGCGAATGCGACTACGACTGCGAGAACAGCAGAACTCTACAACTGGATTCTCATCTGAATCTTAAGGGGGATGCTTCCAGATATGCTCCTACACATCGCTGTTAGGTTGCTTTGCCGGGATAATTTTAATTTCCTCCCAAATCCGCCTGTAGGGGGACATGCCTGACCTAATCCTGGACAGAACGCACCCTGGGAGAGGTCCAGGGAGCAGCGGTTCGGTGCCTTTTGATTTCCCCAGGTGCCGCTCGCGTGCTTCATCGTCGTCTACATCGGCCGACTGGGGGGGGGGGGGCGGGCTCAGAGGAGGAAAAGGGTGCGTGCCGGCACGTTTTGGCCTTCTTGGCCCTCCTGCGAGCCTCGTCGCCACCGCTGGGTTCTCCTCGGAGTTCTGGTCAAAAGGCACCCCGGGAGAGGTTCGGGGAGTATCGGGATCGTTCCTTCTGTCTCACCAGGAAGGGGGCCTGTCTAGGGAACAGAACTTGCGTGTACAGTCACTACGCCGAAATATGTTTCCATCGCAACATCCATCGACACGTCACTGCAACGGCAGGATACCTATGCAGAGTTCTTCCTGTAGGCGACAACATTTGGTCGTGATTAGTGCAGGGTCTGGCGTCGAAGCAAATTTTTAAAAGGAAAGCAAATGTTTAAAAGGAATGCCTGGAGTGATCCAGGCCTGTCTCATTAGAATGTGATTATATGTGAGATCTGAAAGTCGGCATATGCCAAGGGCGAATTGAGACTGATGCCGAAGGCCGCACGTGGGGATGGCTTCCTGAGCATGATTGTGGTCGAAGGCGCACGGAGAGAAGTGTTCTGATGAAGGCTATGCCAGAAAGGCTAAGCGCTGGCCGCAAGTCGGGGCCCGCACCCTGGCATATGGCAAAGAAGATGTCATAGGAGGGCCACTCTGAGGCTCAGGAAGGGTTCTGGTTTTCGGGGCGCTTCTTGGATCCAGGGTTACGTCTGGCCTGTCCCCCTGCAGGCGGATTTTCGACGAGAAATGGAACGTAGTCAAGCCATGCCCAGACACGGTCGCGAGGAGCAGAACACCTCGTGCGGATACACCCCTCCTGGGGAGGGGGACGTGCCCGGCTCAGTTCTGGGCGGGGGAACACGCCTGTGGCCGAGGCTCGCCGTGCCCAGCTGGGCCCGCCTCTCGCTCTCCTTGCTCGGCACCCCTGCTGGCAGCACGATGGCAGCTGCACCCCACCGCCGCCCCCCTGCAGCGGGGGCGCGCAGCGAGAGGCCTTCGCTCCGCGCGCTGCGCGGTGGCTTCCCGCGGCCGTTGAGGAAGCTGCTCCGTTCAGGGTGCTCCGGGTTTCCCTTCCGCGCGCGGGTTTTCAGGGTTGGGTTTCTTGCGAGGGTTTCATGCGGCCGCGCCCGCACTGTACTCCTACCCTCGACGAAGGAAAAGCTGATTCCCTGGACCTGCGCTGGACCCCCCTGGCGGCGCCTCCAGCGCCTCCAGCGCCGACCCGAAGGGGGGTCCAGCGCCGATCCAGAAAATCCGCACCGGCCCTCAGAAGTCAAGGTTCCGAGGCGGGAATTTTTACATGACCAACGCCTGGAGGGTCAGTTTTCGGAGCCTCGGCGGGCGGTGGATATGGACACATCCGGGCCCCCTGGGGCCGAAATATATCCATATCCACTGCCCGCTGGGCACCAGGACGTCGGTTCCCAGGCTGTGGATATGGATAAATCCCCGAAGGTCTCTGCCGTTTTCGGTTACCGAATCGCACCCTGGCTGCATCCCCGTCCTGTTTTGCTGTCTTGGCCCAGGCGCGGACACACCTTGACCTCCAGAGAGCACTTCTGCCAGGAGGAAGTCCTCGTCGCCATGGCCTCTGGACCTCGAGAGTGCTGGGCGGCTCCTTGACCCTCCCTCCTGGGACGGCTACAGTCAAGTCGGGCCTGTCCCTCTACAGGGGGAATGCTCAAAAATTGGGGAAAAAGCAGTCTGGGGACGATTTTCTCCTATTTTGGACAATTTGGGGGCATTGTTTGCCTATTTTTTGCTTTTCGCTCCAAATCCGCCTGTAGGGGGACATGCCCGACCTAACGCTACAGTTGCCCCCCCTCTTCGGGCGCCCTGGACAGCCCTCGCCGCCACGGCTGCACTCGCCCCAGGGGCCCGACCCAGACGCGCCCCACGGGTGGAGCCTGGCATCGAAGAAGGAAGAGGTGCACAAGCAGAAGCGTTCGGAGGACCTCCGACAGTCTATGCCTGTGAAGCTTCTGGTTCCCCCAGTCCGGAGGGCGGCCGCACTGGCACTGCTGCCAGTTCCCCGCAGGCCTGCTGCTGGAGGAGTGGGTGCTCACCTTGGAGATGGCGGGCGGCCTGGGCTGCGTCATCGTCGGGCTCTCGGCAGGAAACGGACCCACATCCACAGCTTCTCAGGTCGGGCCCTGGGGCCGCGACCTTTTGGATACGGAGCGTTCTTGTTGTGGATGCCCCGCACGGAACGTACCCATGCGGCCGCGCATCCTCGGGATCGCGTCCCATAATCCAGGCAGGAGATTGTCTTTCACCCCCTCGCGACAATGGGCGTGACAGGGGGGATGGGAGGAAGGGGAGGAGGGGGCCAGTCACGTCACGATTCGCGCACCGGCGACGTCTGGGAATGCCCCAGAGAAAAGGCTCGTTCCCAGACGGCGCCGCCGCGAATCGCGACGTGAGAGCATGGGGGGGAAGGGGGGGTGCGGTGCCAGCCGCGGGCGCCATCGCAGAAATTACACAAGTGGACTATGTATTGCGAGGGCGTGGATGACATCTGGTCGCCGCCCGGGAGGCTCGCCCTGTTCAAGTACGGCCTGACGACGGGCTTGATGCCCTTCGGCGAGTCGATCGGCCGCCGCCTGCCGCAGAAGGCGGCGCCCCCGGTGGTGTTCCTGGCGAGCCTGCTGCTGGGTGCTCGGGGCGGGGCAAGCATACCCCATCCATCCTGCAAGTATCAGGTCGGGCCCGTCCCTCTACAAGAGGAAACTTCAGAAACAGTCAAAACATAGTCCGGGGACGATGTTCTGATTCTTCCCCAACATGCTTGCACTGAAGGGGTCCTAGCGGAGGGTGAAGGATTTGGCGAAAGTTTCCCGCCGATTTTGGTGGCAGGATGGGGTCCCAGGTTCCTGGTTCCGGGTTCCCAGGTTCCCGGTTATTGGTTCCGGGCCGATTTCGGTGGGTTTTGGGTTCCCGGGCTGCCAGGTGCCCGGTCGATCTCCGCAGCGGAAACCATCACTGATTGGCTTTTTCCTTTGGTGCATTTTTTTGACTGTTTGTGGGTATTTTGGGGGTATTTCCCCAATCTGTGCTTGCACTGAAGGGGTCCTAGCGTAAGTTGAAAGATTTGGCGAAAGTTTCCCGCCGATTTTGGTAGCAGGCTGGTTTCACTGGTTCTCGGTTCCGGGCTCCCGGGTTCCCGGTTATTCCCCACATGTTTCGTGGGGTTTTGGTTTTCTTCCCTGCCGCGCCGCGCCCGCGTCTCACCTCACCTCACACCTCCTCTCTCTTTCTTCCTCCCCTCACTCACACACACATTTCACTCTTCCCCCCCTCGTCACAGCACTGCTCAGCTCAACTCACCTCAGCACAGCACAGCACAGCTCAGCTCAGCTCAGCACAGCACAGCTCGGCTCAGCTCAGCACAGCTCAGCACAGCCCAGCACGGCTCAGCTCAGCACAGCACAGCACAGCTCGTGGCACTTTCTCGACACCACAGGGGGTGCGCAGGGGTTGGTCTCTCACCGCGGTCCCTATCCACGTCACTGGCGCAAAGGCTAGCAGGCGTGGCACTCTCTCGACACCAAAGGGGGTGGGCAGGGGGTGGTTCTCAGCTCGGCCGCTATCCACGACACTGGCGCAAAGCCTAGCAGGCGTGGCACTTTCTCGACACCACAGGGGGTCGCAGGGGTGGTCTCTCACCGCGGTCCCTATCCACGACACTGGCGCAAAGCCTAGCAGGCGTGGCACTTTCTCGACACCAAAGGGGGTGGGCAGGGGGTGGTCTCTCAGCTCGGCCGCTATCCACGACACTGGCGCAAAGCCTAGCAGGCGTGGCACTTTCTCGACACCACAGGGGGTGCGCAGGGGGTGGTCTCTCAGCTCGGCCGCTATCCACGACACTGGCGCAAAGCCTAGCAGGCGTGGCACTTTCTCGACACCACAGGGGGTGGGCAGGGGGTGGTCTCTCAGCTCGGCCGCTATCCACGACACTGGCGCAAAGCCTAGCAGGCGTGGCACTTCTCGACACCACAGGGGGTGCGCAGGGGGTGGTCTCTCAGCTCGGCCGCTATCCACGACACTGGCGCAAAGGCTAGCAGGCGTGGCACTTTCTCGACACCACAGGGGTGCGCAGGGGGTGGTCTCTCACTCGGCCGCTATCCACGGCACTGTCGCAAAGCTAGCAGGCGTGGCACTTCTCGACACCACACAGGGGGTGGTACTCATCAGCTCGGCCGCTATCCACGGGCACTGGCGCAAGGCTACAGGCGTGGCACTTTCTCGCACCACAGGGGGTGGCCGGGGTGGTCTCTAAGCTATCCACGACACTGGCACAAAGCCTAGCAAGCGTGGCATTTTCTCGACACCACAGGGGTGCCAGGGGTGGTCTCTCAGCTCGGCCGCTATCACGACACTGGCGCAAAGCCTAGCAGGCGTGGCACTTTCTCGACACCACAGGGGGTGCGCAGGGGGTGGTCTCTCAGCTCGGCCGCTTCACGACACTGGCGCAAAGCCTAGCAGGCGTGGCACTTTCTCGACACCACAGGGGGTGCGCAGGGGTGGTCTCTCAGCTCGGCCGCTATCCACGACACTGGCGCAAAGCCTAGCAAGCGTGGCACTTTCTCGACACCACAGGGGGTGGGCAGGGGGTGGTCTCTCAGCTCGGCCGCTATCCACGACACTGTCGCAAAGCCTAGCAGGCGTGGCACTTTCTCGACACCACAGGGGGTGCGCAGGGGGTGGTCTCTCAGCTCGGCCGCTATCCACGACACTGGCGCAAAGCCTAGCAGGCGTGGCACTTTCTCGACACCACAGGGGGTGCGCAGGGGGTGGTCTCTCAGCTCGGCCGCTATCCACGACACTCTAGCAGGCTCGGCACTTTCTCGCACCACACGGGGTGCGCAGCCTCGGCCGACGACCTGGCGCAAACCTAGCAAGCGTGGCACTTTCTCGACACCAAGGGGGTGCGCAGGGGGTGGTCTCTCAGCTCGGTCGCTATCCACGACACTGTCGCAAAGCCTAGCAGGCGTGGCACTTTCTCGACACCACAAGGGGTGCGCAGGGGGTGGTCTCTCAGCTCGGCCGCTATCCACGACACTGTCGCAAAACCTAGCAGGCGTGGCACTTTCTCGACACCACAGGGGGTGCGCAGGGGGTGGTCTCTCAGCTCGGCCGCCATCCACGACACTGGCGCAAAGCCTAGCAGGCGTGGCACTTTCTCGACACCAAAGGGGGTGGGCAGGGGGTGGTCTCTCAGCTCGGCCGCTATCCACGACACTGGCGCAAAGCTCACTTTCTCGTCACCACAGGGGGTCTCTCAGCGCGGCCGCCACCCACGACACTGTCGCAAAGCTTAGCAGGCGTGGCACTCTCCCGGGACTATAGGGCCAGCGCAGGGGGTGATCTCTTGGTGCAGTGATTATCCACCGCATTGCGCGTGAGAGCTTGCGTCTTACCCTGATCCGTAAACATCGCGGCTCAAGCCGGCGCGGCACGACTGCGCATTTACGCAAGTTTGTCTGTGCTCCAACTTGCGGGCAACAACCGCCCGGCCTACGCGCGGCAGCAATGCCGCCCAAAATTGACATTTGACAGCTGCCGCCTCCGTGCGTGAAGCTGAAGTACGCACTGACTGAAATGGGCGACGATGTAAGCCTGGAAGGCTTGCGTGGCTGCGAGGGGCTTCTGATAAGAAACGCATTCGATGCCTATCACCGTCAACTGAAGAATTGGTGGCCCGAGACGCTTTACATGAGGTAGAACGAGTTGCCGCATCCAGGTACGAACGACGATAGCAGGAGGAGGCAGTGCCTGGTGGCATACTTGCTGAACCCTTCGTCCGTCGGGTTCCCGGCTGATCAGCCGGGGGGCAGTGCGGAGGATGGCGATGGCTCGCCGTTGGCGAAAGTTCGGTGGGTCGGCGACGCCGGCAACGGGGGCGTTGCCACGCCCGCGCAGGACGCGCCTATCAAGTGCACGCCCGTGCAGGCCTTCACTCCTCAGCGGTCCCCGGCACTTCTGCTTGCTACCTCTGTTCGTTCCACGGGTACCCCTCGCATTCAGCTGCCCCCTGAGCTGGCTCAGACGGACCGCCGTTGGGCAGAAGTACCTTGGTCGCAAGGCCTGCGAGAATCAGTTCAGCTCGAGAACCGTTGGATGACCCATAGGGAACATTCGCGACGAGGGCTCAGAACGCAGGATTGTGCATATATATATATATATACACAAAAGCAAACACATAAGATTTGAATTAAGTATGTGGGGTTTCTCGGTAGCGTAATTCCCCGCATGCTTCGTGGGGTTCTGGTTTTCTTCCCTGCCGCGTCGCACCCGCGTCTCCTCCTCCTCCCTGCCCCCTCCTCCTCGCGCAGCACAGCACAGCGCTGCTCAGCACAGCTCAGTTCGGCACAGCGCAGCACAGGAGTGGCACTTTCTCGACACAAGAGAGGGTGCGCAGGGGGTGGTCTCTCACCGCGGCGTCTATGCGTGCCAGGGTCGGAGAGCGTGGCAGGCGTGGCACTTTCTCGACAGCAGAGAGGGTGCGCAGGGGGTGGTCTCTCACCGCGGCGTCTATGCGTGCCAGGGTCGGAGAGCGTGGCAGGTGTGGCACTTTCTCGACCGCGGAGAGGGTGCGCAGGGGGTGGTCTCTCACCGCGGCGTCTATGCGTGCCAGGGTCGGAGAGCGTGGCAGGCGTGGCACTTTCTCGACAGCGCAGGGGGTGGTCTCTCACCGCGGCGTCTATGCGTGCCAGGGTCGGATCGGCGAGCGTGGCAGGCGTGACACTTTCTCGACCGCAGAGAGGGTGCGCAGGGGGTGGTTTCTCACCGCGGCGCCTAAGCGTGCCAGGGTCGGACAGCGCGGCAGGCGTGGCACTTTCTCGACCGCAGGGGGGGTGCGCATGGGGGGTGCGTCAGTCGTATGGCCACCGTTGCCGATGTGCGTGCCAGGGTCGAGAGCGGGGCCGTGACACTTTCTCGAAAGCGATAGGGTGCGTAGGGGGTGGTCTCTCACCGCGGCGTCTATGCGTGCCAGGGTCCTAGCGTGGCACCAGAGAGGGTGGCAGGGGTGGTTTCTCACCGCGGCCTTTACGCGTGCCAGGGTCGGAAAGCGTGGCAGGCGTGGCACTTTCTCGACACCAGGGGGGGTGCGCAGGGGGTGGTCTCTCACCGCGGCGTCTATGCGTGCCAGGGTCGGAGAGCGTGGCAGGCGTGGCACTTTCTCGACACCAGGGGGGGTGCGCAGGGGGTGGTCTCTCACCGCGGCCCCTATGCGTGCCAGGGTCGGAGAGCGTGGCAGGCGTGGCACTTTCTTGACACCAGAGAGGGTGCGCAAGTGGTGGTTCTCACCGCGCGTCTACGCGAGCCAGGGTCGGAAAGCGTGGCAGGCAGGCACTTAGGGGGGTGTGCGCAGGGGTGGTCACTCACCCCGCGCTATGCGTGCCAGGGTCGGAGAGCGTGGCAGGCGTGGCACTTTCTCGACACCAGGGGGGGTGCGCAGGGGTGGTCTCTCACCGCGGGGCGCTTATGCGTGCCAGGGTCGGAGAGCGTGGCAGGCGTGGCACTTTCTCGACACCAGAGAGGGTGCGTAGGGGGTGGTCTCTCACCGCGGCCCCTATGCGTGCCAGGGTCGGAGAGCGTGGCAGGCGTGGCACTTTCTCGACACCAGAGAGGGTGCGCAGGGTGGTGGTCTC